ATCCAACACAATCCCAACTACTATCAACAAGAGATTAAGGGTGATCAGTTCCTCAATTTGTCAACAGACAGCCGAAAATCATGATGGAGTATAAACCATCTTTACCAAACTATAATAGCGCTTAACAACACACCGAGCTACAATTCCTTTCTTGCAGCATCCTGGAGAATCACAAGCTTCTCCCCCACTTCGATCATTCCCACTTCTGTAGACAAGGTTAACCACGAACATGTATCGACAGTGTTTCACACACATGTCGCGTACAAGGGAACAACCAACAAACACAACTTGGTCGGACGGACCGACCTGCTCTGATACCACTTAATGTAACGCCCCCTTTCTATACCCCTAAATAACACAATTAAATCATTTAAGCACGAATTAAAATTCCATCAGAGTATATTTATTTCATGGTATAAAAGAAGTGCGTCACATTACTCACGAAACGACCACATGAATATCAATGTTTATAAAGAAATAATTCAAAAGGGGTAAATCTCAACTAAAAAGAATAAACACATGGTTCTTAAAATAAGCATATTCATGTTTTCTGTTAAAGCGGAAGACTAAAACATTGAATTACTTAAGACATGATAAAATATAAGTACACGTCATTAGGTTGTTCATAACACCAATCACAGTTTACCAAACATCATCAACTATTACATATATATAATGTATCACGAAGATACTCTACAAGTCTAGCTACCCGACGTTACATATCAGAGCGACCGACTCAAGAGAAAAGGAGCTATACTCCAAAATGCACCTCCAGCAATCCTAATCTGCAATGCCTCATAGAGCATTATAAAACAGCAGAAGGGTGAGAAATATTACCATAATAACAATGCATATAATTATGTATATAAACAATCATAAAATACATATATGCCACATTTCTCAATCAATTCACACACTCACCACTCCCACATCAACGTATCGTGTGTATATATATATATATATATATATATATATATATATATATATATATATATATATATATATATATATATATATATATATATATATATATATATATATATATATATATATGCACACTTCTCCTAACAATCACATGTACATTATGTTTCATTTACCGTAATTTGCATAACATACACATTAACTCAATAAACACACACAACATGTTTACTCCATTGCTAAATCACATAAACATCTACATTCATGTTTATTTCACCAATGCATCATATGAAGATGACAACATGCAACTCATAGAGACCGACACACGACTCTATGCAGATGCAAATGCGGTACCGACTCATTTCAGCAGGTTCAATTGAAGAACCAAAAATAACCATCGCTCACACCCCACAAGGGCACACGAGGTTCTGCAGATTCTCCGAAGAATCAATATAACCATCGCAACATACGAGGTTCTGCAAATCCTCTGAGGGAGCAATAAATAACCATCGCTCACACCCCACAAGGGCACACGAGGTTCTGCAGATTCTCCGAGGAATCAATATAACCATCGCAACATACGAGGTTCTGCAAATCCTCCGAGGGATTAATATAACCATCGCAACATACAAGGTTCTGCAAATCCTCCGAGGGATCAATAAATAACCATCGCTCACACCCCACAAGGGCACACGAGATTCTGCAGATTCTCCGAGGAATCAAACACACAAGAATGCATACCATGATGTTTCACATGCAACATGACTCATGACACTCTTGAAATTCACACATGTTTACAAACATACTCATGCATTCATCATGTTAATCGCATATATTCATTATGCACTCACAATATTTAAACATGGTTCACATTTACGATCATCATACATCACATACGAGCAATATGCACTTGCAAATATCATGCCAAACGGCAATAGACTCAATTACCTCCCTCATGCATTTTTAATCAATTTAAACAATGCGTCACATATTCACAATCAATTCATAATCTAGGATTCACGCCATACGGCTACCCACAACACACATAACAGCATATAATTAGTCATCTCAGACAAGGAATGATCGCAACCAAACCACACAATCAATCCACGAATGGAAAGCACAAGAAAAGAAAACATGTTGCTGAGTTCGCTAACCTTCGCCTGGCGAAGCCCCTGGCGAACCTTCGCTACCCGTTCGCCTGGCGAACTTGCCAGCGAAGACCACTGGGATTTATTCTGGAATTAATCGCTAGCACACTCGCCTGGCGAACCTTCGCCACACTCATTCGCCTGGAGAACTTGCCAAAGAAGACAGGGTGTTTGGTTCTGACTTGATTCGCTACCGTTCGTTGGGCCTCGCTTGGCAAACCTGCGATATCAGAACTTCCATGGCTGTTCAAAAGTCTAAACCTCACAAAACCAACCGATTTAATCCAAATCTGTTCCAGTAGCACGGCTCACTCATCACCCGACTATACTACACCGTCTATTCCAAATTATAACCGCTAAAACTTAGTTTCTACCGATTAAACTCATTTCGACCTAAAATGGAAAATGTAGGAAAACACCCAACAAATCCAAACACACATATACATAATCATACACGTTGATTAAGATAGTAAGATTTCACACCCTTACCTCGATTAATCGGAAGCTAGAAGTCGTTCTTGAGCTTTTCCGAGCTTTTCCTTCTACTTTCTCTTCTTCCTCCACTTTCTTTTCATGTTTTCTATTATACATTGTCGTTCCTCTTCTCCCCATATATATATATATATATATATATATATATATATATATATATATATATATATATATATATATATATATATATATATATATATATATATATATATATATATATATATATATATATATATATATATATATATATATATATATATATATATATATATATATATATCCTGCCTTCCTATTTCTCTTCAATTATATTTCTTCTCTTAAAATATTTGTCAATTCATTTTCTCATAAAATATCTCATCTTGATATTGGTTAGAAAACATCTGATAAATCCTCATGATTCTACCAAATAGAATAAATCAGTTAAATCCAATAATTCACTTTAAACCATACAAACCAACTAACTAGTACAATTAATCAGTTATTAAAAATCGGACTGTTACAGTATACATGACATATAACCAACATATCACATCCAATTCATTTTTGAGACCTCCCTATTAACAAACCATTTAACATGCATGTGAACTAATTCACCCTTATGGTGTATCTTTAACTTAATTCTTTGAGATAAAATACATTTTTGGGTCCCTTAACTATATACCCTTGGGTTCAGATTGACCCCTTGATCATTTTTTGTGTTAGATTGGTCACTTAACTCTTTAAAATGTGTCATGTTGGTCCTTTTTGTCTATTTAACGACTGATATTTAAACTTTTCCGTCACTAATTAGACGAAAAGGACTAACATAAAACGTTTTAAAGAGTTAAGAAATCAATCTGACACGAAAAATAATTAAGGAATCAATCTAATCTAAACTTTAGAATATTGTTAAGGGACCAAAAAGAATATTATATCATTTTTTGACTTTGAATCAGCCTGAACAACCATTTAAAATAATATGATTTTCTTAAACAAACGTGGTCAATAGCAAACTAACTAAACAACATAGACAATTTGAAACCACAACATAAATACTATAAAAAAAAAATTGGGATCACAACATACAGGAAGAAACATGTGGGGATCAACAAATACACAAACATAAGCAGGACTTACTTTTGTTCAGATTGGGACCACGAATAATATATTTGACACAAAATTTTATGTATTCCTTGATATTCCATATCTTAGGTGGTTTCGTCAATCACAAACGATTGAGAAAGATTTGAACTTCGCTTGTGCTTCAATTGAAAACGATTAAAAAAGTCCAACCTTCGCTTCAGCTTTAGAAAATATCAACTTCGTTTGAATGCGCTTCAAGATAAACAATCGAAGATAACAATTGACAAAGAAATATTGAATATTATTTAGGTTTTCGCTTTTAAGGTTGAGAAAAGGGAGAAGATTGTTCAAAAAATAAGAATTGTTTTATAAAAGTTAATCTATTTTATTAATTGAATTATTCAGAATCTTAAAATCAATTATTCATTTAATTATATGAAATGGCATGTTTACATGACGCCACACTTTCAATTAATCATACAAAATTGATGGAGACTAAAAATCTCAGGAATTGATGTAAAAAAAAAAAGAATAAAAGACTGAATTTTAGAACTGAAATTAAAAAAAAATTGAAAGATTGAACATCCATATAAAATAAAAATAAAGAAATATGGTAGAATAATCATTTTTCTGATACTACGTTACAATTTTTTATTGAAGTCATGGAGAGAAAATAATAATAAAAATATATTGAATAACCAGATATAGTATTTTGTGATATAAATTGTGCAAAATTTATATAGCTAATAAAGAACAACTGACCAAACTAACTAATTAATTAAGTAACTATTTAGTTTTACTAACAAATCTAAATATATCTTTTATGCTAAATCTTTAACTAATCTAAATATATTTTTTTCATGCTGAATCTTAAACTAAATAGCTCTTACATAGGCTATGTGCATTGATGTGGACTAATTTTATATTTTCTTTAATTTTATAATTTTATGATCTATGAATTAGTCAAGCAGCAATATGTTTTTTTTATAGAATAGTCCTATAGTTTACTTGGTGTTATTTGTTGTAATTAATAAGAATTTGTCTTTATTGTAGTATGCAGTTGATAAACATAAATATCAAATGTAGAAAATCAACATGAAATATTTAAGAAAACATTTTCAACACTTTAGAATATTATATTTTCAATGACAGTTGAATGAAGCAGCACTGTTTAAGAAAAGAATGAACAATAACGACAAACATTATGTATCTCAGCCCAAAATTTCTGATGCTTAACTGTACTTTTTCATAATAGCAGAGAAGATATTATTTTTAACATAGATTCTGAACATAAAATTCTCCCCGGCATCACCCCACGAGAAAAAAGCTTTTCTGCAAAACTAAGACATAAATAAAATTTCACTATCTCTATACTATCTAAATAAATTTATCTAGTTTTCGTGATTTGGTCGGTCCTGGTGGCTGGAAAGTATGCAATTGCAAATTGGAGCTTGTCTGGATCTCGGTCAAAAAGGCATCACCCTTCTCGCTTTGTATCACTTCTAATGTGCTTCCAAGAACATCAGCTGCAAGTCCAATTTGTAAGAGCCGTCCTGGTTCTTCTCCGCCGTCGTGTATTAACCGCCCAATCTCCTTCAAAGAGACTACATGCTCTGTTATAGCTTTAGCGAAAATGCGGCCAAGAAACTCCGGTGCTTTGGGGGCATCTGTAACCACCTCTTCAAAAGTACTTAGAACAGATTCAAACCTGTCCAAGATAAACAGAAATTAGCAACAATTTCAATTTTTTAATATTTACAGTAACAGATTCTCATTACTAGTCGTTATTTTCAAATAAAACTCACCCTTTAATGAGCTGGGCTTGACTTAAGGTGCCACCATGAAGTTTCACAAGGTCGATCAGCAGTTTGGCTAAAAGATTTCGATGTATGTCCTTTCTTTCAAATGAGTCTGTGACCCAGACAGAAACCATGGAAGGATGAAAGCTTGGACAATTCAGATCTTTGACACACAAAACAACTTCGTCCACATCTCTAGCACTGAATTGTACAATTTAAAGTCAGATCAGATCGTTTAGAGAAAAGACAAGATAACTTGAAAATAAGTCATTGCAGAAAGACCACACAAATTAGAAAACAAGTTGGTGTGACATGCATAATAAGTTTGATTTTGTTGGTTTAGCAAAATCTGTTTCAAATTTGTTTCTTGTTGACTGAAGATGTTGAGTTTCAAAAAATAAAGTTTGATTTTAATTTGGTCCTATGACAACAGCTATAAAACCTGTAACTGAATATAAAATAAAAAAGGGAGACCTAACCTGTCATCGAATAGAAATAATAAAAAGTAGGGAGACCTAACTACAAATTTACAACTAAGACAATTAAATATAGTTTGAACTAGAGGAACAATGTAAGGCTATGTGAAAATGCAAAAATGTTGATAAACTTAGAAACATGGGGGGCCAAAAGTTTTCATGTTGAGGGACAGAAGATTCAATAGAAACACAGCTCGCACCCAGAGGCTTAATACATGTCCAAAACTTAAAGAACAAAATAATTAAGGGGATGTTTGTTTCCTGGTTGCAGAAAATTCCCAGGAATTTAATATCAGAAATATTTATCCCCATGTTTGGTAGAATAAATTTAAGGATTATTCCCAGCAATAAATTGTTCCACGAAATATATATACTCATGAGCATCCTATACCCAAGGAAGGAAGATAGTATATTGTATTCTTGGTGGTTATAATGCAGTTGTCATGTGAGAATGTCACATTATCCTCATAATTGCACTTCTAAGAAAATATGCATACCGAATAGAAATAGCATTTCTTGGAAAGAAAACATAATTGGCACAATAAGATTAAACAAAGGGAATAGAAACCACAAGAAAATAAAGCAGTACCTATAGTATTCTCTGATTGCTGCCATGGACATGTTCTGTAGTCGCTCTTCTGACAAACCCTTTTCTGAAGAGGTATTATGGGAGCCTGATATCTCTTGTGCTTGGGCAGGTGGTTGATTTGAAACAGGTTTATCAAGAATGCTATTATTTACATTTATCAAGTCCCTGTTACTATAATTCATATTCTGCTCTGGAACACTTGATTGATCATGAGCATTTGGACCAGAAAATCTATCCGGAACATATCTTGGAGGGTGGTCCTCCCTAGAATTGTATGAAGCCTGTTCAGATAAATTACTATAACCATTAAGACCCGTAGAACTTGAAACTGCAGGAGAACCTCTGATGGACATTCCTCTAGCCAAACCACCTTGGGGTCCCAAGTTTATTGACTCATCAGCTAAAGGCCTTTGAGGCAAGGGAATAGACAGTGTCCTAGCCTCGTAAGATTGCCTTTCATACCCACGAACATCCTGAGAACCATACCCACGAACTTGAGTAGGCAATCCACCCATCTGAGGATTAGGAGGGGATAATATAGATGAACCTCTTGAACCAAAATCCATAGGGACTTTTCTTGCTGCACTAATACCCATACCACGACCCAGCCTACTGGCTTGGGATTGCCTCTCTTGGGTAGCATCTCGGTGCACCTCTTCAATCTTCTTTGGACCTTCAACTTTTCTCCTTTGTTGCCATCTATTCTTTCTTAAATCAATGGTATCCTTCAACATGAACCTCACCCTAGAAGATAAACTCATGTTGTTTGATAGTAATTTAATCCTTTCAAAATATACATCCATATGTTCCTTGGCTTTGGGGTGATCAATCATCTCCCCAATAGTACTCATCAGTTTGCATAAAGCTTCAATATCTTCTTCATCAGGATTCTGACACTGACCCAGTAACTTTTTTATACACTCGTGCATTATCCTCTCTGTCAGCATTCTCTTCTTATATAGCTCTCCAATTAATCTGATATTACCCAACATTCGTCTTCTAGCCTTGGATCGTTTTGCTTCTCTTTCCTCGTCAGACTGTTTCACCTCACCCTCATCAGCTTGATTAGCTTCTTCTTGCTCTCTTTCACCCCTCTCAAATTCTTCCTGGCACTTGTTTAACAATAATCTCTTAAATGTTATCTTTTCATTGTCTTGACTGAGATCAGGCAATGCAGCTGCTAGATGAAAACAGAAATTGGCATACATTTCACAGAAGGTAGGTTCCATCAATGCCTTCTCAAAGATTTGTGAGATGACACCAGTGAGAGTGACTGCATTGTCAATATTAACTGCTTTTACCTGCTCAAAAAGTTTCTCAAAATTCTGTGGAGTTAACTTGTTCAATATACCCTTCAACTGTCTCTGCTTTGCCTGTTCCTCATCTGTTACTTTACCAACTTCATACTTCTTCTCAGCTTTGTGCATCGTCACCAAAGGAGATTGAGAAGGAGATGGAATTAAACCCCTCTGCTGGAAGCTAGCACTACGCTGCCACCTTTCACCATCAGGGCTATTTCTTTGCATTCCTCCCTGATTTACCATGGATTGCATTGGCCCAGAGAGAATCCCTCCATATTGCATTCCCTGTGCGCGTGGATTCCTTAAAACACCAAAATTGCCTACTTGACCAGGTCTAAGTCCTGTATTACCTCCACTACCAATAACACCAGACGCTTTACTCCATTTATCGTCCTCAGTAACACCATTCCCACGACGATCCATCCGAGACATCCCACCCGACCTATCTGTATTTCTTCCAGCAGAAGGATGTGAATCACGTTCAATAACATGAGAACTAACATTGGGAGTCATCAAAGCCCCCATGTCTGCCGAGATTTCAAACCCTTCAGGAAGATCAGTGCAATGCTCTGCAAATTTCAAAAGAAAATCTCGAGAGTATTTTTTTTCATTAACTGCACTTTCGTTGCTAACCAGTTGAGTTTTATTTGATACTTCTAGTTTTGGTGTGGACATGTCGGCGACATCCTCCCAGTCCTCAAGTTCAGCCTTACTCTGCCTGCATTGTTCATTTGCAACTACATTTGGCTGAGAAGCATCCACGGGCAACTGCTTCAAATTTCCAGAAGAAACACATCCAGTATTCTCCAAACTGACAACAGCCTCTTTCTTTTCCTCGGGTCGCTTATATGCGTTATAAAGATCAAATGTCATCCCAGCAGCGTCTGCTTTCAGAAGAACCTCTTTTAGTTTCTTTTTTCCTTTTGATGAAGCTTTCACTTTACTTGGCTCTGAACTTGGTCGGTCCGTAGTACTCGGTGCACCTGGAAGAGACACTGAGCCACTGCCAGCAATGGCATCCTCTGAACTATCCTTGCAATGTTTTGAAGCTGTTTCTAAATGATCAGAAGATTGCCGATATGATGAGCCAAAATTTGTAGAAATAGCATCATTACTATTTACACTATCATTTCTGTTTAAAGTGTTACCTTTAGAATCCAGTGCAGTAGAGGCAGACGCGTTTAAATTATCAGCAATCCTGTCACATTCTGTGATGTAACTTACAGATCCACCCTGCCCTTGCTGTCCAGTCTCTAAAGTTACATCCTCAGTGTTTAACTCTGTAACACCATGTTTCAGTTGATTAAATTCTTCCCCGCTGTCACTAACATTTTTACATCCCTGAAGAGTTGAAACGGTCTGTCTTAATAGTTTATCCTCTTGGGATAATTCATCTACCTTAGCACTATTATGATTGTTCAAACTAACAACGGCTTGAGTAACAGGTTCTTCAGCTGAAACACAAGCAGAGACCTGTCTAGAACAAATAGTCTTTTCCTCAAGTGTCACAGAAGGTAGGCTCTCACTGGCAGCTGATAACGTGCCTGAAGCTGCTGCTGATAAATCGTCACAGGCAATTGCTGCAGAATGTGTTGTTTTAGTACCTACAATTTCAGAAGCTACACAAACAGAGGTACCACCATCAACAGCTACAGAAGGTTCATTGGCCACGGCAGAAGATTGTACAGCCACCTGTGTGGGGAAAAATAAAAATAAAAACATTCACAAGACTTGAACCAAACTGAGAACAAATTAGCAAAATGATATTTGATTAGCTAGCACTTTTGTACCTGATGCTGCAACTGTTTTTTCTTCTGATTATCCTTCAAAGAATTTGACCTGCTAAGAGATTCCTTGTTTCTGCCCTTGTTTTTGGATACATCTGAAACCATATTCTTACTCAAGGCAGATGAAGAAGGCAACAAGGACGCTGATGTAAGCTTCTCAGTAGATGCAACAGTAGATTGTTGGGAAGAGATTTCAGAACAAGCGCCAGACTGTTTTGGTGGCACAGAATCGCTGGCATCACTAGATGTTACCAAGGAATTAGGAGATCCATCTTTTTTAGCACCAGAAATTGAATCGGAAAATGATGAGATCACAACGCCAGACCCACTTGGCTTTATAGACACATAAGAGGCTCCTGACACAGTTGATGAGATTGCATTCGGCACATCACGGGGAAATTCCCGATTAGGTTGTTCAACAATGCTAGAAATAGAAGCGACAGTTTTATTAACAGGCAGGGAACCGTGAGATGCTGAAGTCGCGAAACCAACATTTTGCGGACCACGATTCACTGTATAACTTAATCTTGGTGGCTGGGTAGTGGGGGTTATCTGGCTATTTGATAATGCAAGAGAGCTAGGAGTTTGATAAAAGGGAGAATTGGATTGATAGTAACTGATAGGATGCGAAGCAGGAAATGACTGGACAGGCGGAGATTGAGAAGGGATGCCAGAATGAGGCCTAGCACCAGATGACCCGCCATCTGAATATGCATTGGCCCTTTTATCAAGTCTAAGCTCTTCATGGGTATCAGGGTGAGTTATTTTCACTGTAGTAGTTTTACGAGGAGCAGCATAATTTCCTCCTTGCTGAGGAGAATATTGTGGGTTGATTCCCATACCAATGTTACCTAATTGATGGGCCATTTGATGACTAATTTGAGGAGTGAAACCCATATTTTGGCCTTGATGCATGATTCCTTGAGGATGGATAGGATGGGTTTGATGACTTGGAACGAATACTTGGTGTTGCATTTGCGCAGCATTTCCAATTGGTAAAGGCATCTGAAGAGATGTGGTTGACATACTTCGAGGTTGAATATGGGGATTAGGAACACCAAAGTGCACAGGTGCATGTGACTGGTGATATGGCATTGCCATTGACATAGGAATAACAGAAGGCTTGTGCATCAAGCTTGGTGGAGGTAAATGTGACAATTGAGTATCCTTTTTTGCCCTTGTACCAGTATGAATCTCCCCGCCCTTAGATTGGTCAATGACACATGTATCCTTATTAGCTGGCAGCTGCTTAGGAACAGGAAGCTGCTTTGGAACAGGAGGTGTCGGCACAGAAGGCACGGGTCTTGAAGAATCATGACGAACCTGAATGTTGAGATTAGATAAAAAATTATTTGCATTGATTGCTAGGAAAACAAGCAGACAATATCAACTCCAACAAGACTACATAAAAAAATTGACGCACTGCTTTGTCAGCTTCTATTACGGGAAAATGATATCACAACAAACTTTCAAAGGCATTAGTGGTGTCAGAATCAGGGCCACCATTATACCCTCCTTCCTACTTAAGGATAAGGTAGTGTTGTAAACCTATATGTTTACAAATAACAAGATGAAAAGGAAAAAGAAATAACACACCTGATCACGCTTTTGCTCATCTATATTAGGAGGGGCCGAGCTTGTGCGAGCAGGAATCTGCATACATTATAACAGAAGACGATTAACTTCCCTTAAAATTCTAGACATTGTGTAATACTAAACTACAGGTGCACGTCAAGTAATTTGCAGATGAGAAACTTACAGTCATCACATTCATAATGCCAGGACTAATAGATCCAAATTGGAAAGGGAATGCTTTGGATGCATCTCCTGGGAAATATAGCATAATCAGAATCAGATCACTCTCACAAGCTACAAATAATAAGTTAGAAAAAGTGTTTTTTTTCAACTATGACCCTATACAAATTAAGAAACCAAAACTCTTATGACACATCTTATGTGCTACATAAAAACCTGAATGAGTGGTAATTACATACCCTTAGCAGGGGTCGTAGGAGCTGCTGAATCAGAACTCGTGGGGGGAGGTTGAGAAATAGGAGCTTTAGGAACAACCCTGGAACTCGTCTGAGCAGCTGATGTTTCAGATGGCTTGGTAGTTGCATTTGTAACTGATGCATCAGACCCTCCTATGATAAAACATAGATAAGTTTCATCCGTTAGAAACAATCAATCACATTTTACCAAACACTCAATAATAGTAATTCAACCAAACAACATTGCATAACAAACCACTCAAAAAAAAATTTTATTCTAAGGTCCAAGCTTACCATGAAATTGTGGCTGTACATGAGAACCATTTGGTGTTGCTCGGACTACAGAGGCATAATTTAACTCAGCTGAATTTGCATTTGCCGGGGTAGAGTTTACCCTAGGCTGCCCACCTTGTGCATGATTATTAGACTTCTTATTAAAACTAACACAAACAACAACCAGTATCAAAATGTTGAAGGAAAGTAAAGAAATAAAAAAATAAATCATACAATATAATGTTGGCTTAAATAGCAAATGGTCTCTAGTCTCTACAAACATCAGTCACTAAAAAAATATTTTTCCGTTTTTAGTCCCTACAAATATAGCATCTTTTGCTTTTAGTTGATTGATGTTTTGCTTTAACTTTTTTTTTTAACCTTTTGTAATATTCTTTTGTTCATATTTTGGAGGATTAAAATTTAAAATCATAAATTCTACCTATTATAAGGATCGATTTCAACATGAATCAGTTTTACAATGACTAAACAAAACAACGAGAACCAAGAGCCGAAAAAATTGCACATTTGCCATAACTAAAAAAAACAAAAATTACATGAGAAAAACAAAAACTAGATACTTGCAGGGTCCATTCGCATATCCAACAACACTGAAATCATATTTCAAAATCCACCCCACGTCACACTCTGAAAACTACAAATACAAAAATTTGAAGAAGAAAAAAACCCAAGAAACTAACCTCCGAGAAGACGATAGTGCGGGAGAAGGCACGGCCGTGCCGGTGCCGGCCTTAACGTAAGAACCGCCGGAGTTACCTCGGTGCTGATTAAAGCTGGAGGATCGGGCGGAGCGTCGGTACGCAGTGTCACTCTTATCGGACTTTGATTGATTGAAGGACATAAATCCCAACCCTTAATTCCTCAAAAAAAATTAAATTAAAGAACCAAAAAATTTAAGAAAAAAGAGGGAATTTTCCCCCTCAAATTTGCCTGCAAGAAAATAACGAAATCATGATCACGTGGGTAACATGCATTTGAGGAATTCGAAAATAGAATTGATAATGAGTGGAATGTATAAGGAGAAAAAGTGTATATAGAGATGCAGAGTGAAGTGAAGTCGTGTGTGAAATTAGGGTTTATATTTTATTAAATCGGTGGTTAATAGTTTTGCAGTAGAGAGAGAAAGTACCTGAGAGATGACGAAGAGAGAGAGAGAGAGAGAGAGGGTGTATGTTTGGTTGGTGAGGTTAGGAAAATAAAAAATACGAAACACTGAGACTTTATAAGGCAGTTAAACAGAGAGATTTTCCGAGAGAACTTTAATGACTCTATCTTATCATGAGAATTGAGAGAATATATAGGATCTCTTCAATTTTTTAACAAATCTTTTTAACTAGATTTTATACATGTTTTAACTAGATTATTAAAACATCAATTATAAATGATGATTTGGTATATTATTAAATTAAATGAAAGAGATATTTTATGCTATTAATAAATAGTTATTATTTACCTTGTATTTCTTTATTTTATTATGGTATTTTATATATTTAAATGAAAATTCACCTGGCAATTGTATTTGTTATTAATTATATTCTTATTAGATATTCTTTACTTTTAAATTTTTATCGGAGAATAGGATAGGTCGTTTAGATGCCATTGTATATTGTTTGGTCTATTTAAAGTTTAATTCCATCTAATTCGTTTAATAAAAAGTTAGACTCAACATTTTAAAAAGCTTATTAATTTAAATTGATCAGATTAATGTTTATGGAAAGATCTATTAAATCTATCATGTTAGCCTATTTATGTCTAATTTTATATATTATATTAATTTATAAAGTAATATAAATAATGATTTTTTGTAAAATCCTAAAAGATATATAAAAGTTATAAACAATCATGTTTGATGATTTGAAAACATAAATATTCAAAAAAAAAATATCAATCTTTTTAACTGAGTAACAAATAATCATATATAAATTTTATAATTGGATTTTTGTAGTGATATATTTGTAAATGACTACTAAGGGCGAGGAGACCATGCCGCCAACAAGGAGTGACATCCCTTTACTGCTCAAGGGAGACAACCTCGCGCGAGACACTTCTCACTCGTCTAGTATAGAGAAATGTGAGATATGACATGTATTAGTCAGACATAGCCCAAAAAATAAAATAGAGTCAATAAACTAAACAACGTCTTCCTAAAAAAATAAGGATTCAATAGTTCACTACCATAAATATGTAGGAGGTTGTTATTCTCGAGAAGTAAGTCCATAGTGTCATACCCCAATTTTGACATTGTATCGCTGAATCAATACATTTAGCATATCATTAACATCATTTGCATAGCATAGCACACATTTCATCTCGTATAATGCCCAAAATATCAATTGGAATATTTTTTTGAGTCTACAGATAGACCGGTAAAATTGATTCTCAACTATGCGTAAAATCAGTGAGCAGAAAATTTCAAAATCAAGCTTTCAGACGTCAATTCCATTAATCTATGGTTCGCGTAGTTTAACCTTGCATGTTTGTTTTAATTTTTTGACTACTTCTTCAGTCGTATTTTAATCAGTTTGAGCATTTTAATCGGTCAAATTTTATTTTAAAAATTGAGCAAAACTTGTATGTTTCCGAGAGGTTTATTTTGCACTGATCATTTTAGTGCAGTCATTTTATTTTTCGAGCATTTTTGCGTTCGACTTTTGTTCATTTTGAGTCCGTTTATTTTTATTTATTTTTCAAAGTATTCCAAATAATTAAATAGGGTTTTATATGTTTTAGTTTGGATTTTATTTTATTTATTTAGAGTAATTTGATTTTATTTGTGTTAGTTTGTTTTTAACTTTTTTGTATTAATAAACATTAATAAGGGAGGATTTTTTTTTTTTGTCTTAAATCAAAATTCTAGTACTCATGTACATGTACATCACGCATGGCATTAGAAAACATCCAAAATAGACCAACAATAATACTGAAAATAAAAAGAGAAAAAAATCCAAACACTAAAACAGAAGGGCATTTTTTTCACTTTTCACGCTCTCCCTTTGTCTTGTTCATGACTTGATTTCCTTCCTCTTGACCAACCATAAGCTCTACAAAACTCGTCAACTCTCTCTCTCTCTCTCTCTCTCTCTCTCTCTCTCTCTCTCTCTCTCTCTCTCTCTCTCTCTCTCTCTCTCTTAACTTATTAAAATCAAAAGAGACGTCAGACTACTCATAATACTCTCTTTCACTCTTGACATACTCATGTCCATTTCCTACATATTCACTGCTTCACGCTAAACCATACAAGTTGTGTTTTTTTCACAAAGTCATAACACCACAACAAAAATCTCATCTTCTCTTCCTTACACTCCAACTACAACAACACAAAAATCTTACATCATGCTTTTTCATGTTGTAGCGGGAAATTTTGAGATTAAGCTATTGATTAACTTAACTCGCAAAACAAGAGTCGTCACCGCTCTTTTATTTTTCCAAAGGAAGGGGGAAAGAGCGAACAAAACTTAAAGAAGTTTTAAAGTAAAAACTAATAAAAACTTAAAGAAAATGAGTTTTAAAAATGAACTTGACAAAGTCAAGGTTTATTATGAAAGTGATTCTAGTTTGAAATAAGAAGATTTTGAAAAAGGGAGAAGATTTTGGAATTTTAAGAAGGGGAGGAGATGAAGAGGCTACCCTAAAGCATAAAATGAAAGCCAAGGAAAGAAATATCTAACCAAGATAGCAAGCATTTGACATAAACAAGCCAAAACTCTCATCCTTTTGACTAAAGCAATAAGCAACAAGATAAGCAGAGAAATAATCAAGCACAGATGAAAACCAAGTAACCAAGCCAAGTCTTCAAAGAGGTCTCTCAAGGTCAAAGTACCAAATAAGATCCAAGGGCTCAAGATATAACTCCAAAGCATAGGGTAAGGAACCTAATTCTAAGTCCATCATCCATGAGCAAAGGATAATCACCAAATAGTCCAAGAAAAATTAAGAGTGTTGTAATGGTTTAAGCATTTATTAATGTCTTAAAAAGGAAAAAGAATGTTCAAGTGAACAAAGAGAAAAAGGCATAAACATAAATAAGATGATAATATTGATGAGCATAAAAATAAAGAGCATAAAAATAAAGAACATAAAGATAAAAGTGCATAAAAATAAATGACATAAGATAAAAGTTAGCACGATTAAAGTTAGTGTTAATGTTAAATTTAATGAAGAATACATTTTGTCATTTAAAATAGATTACTCAACTAATCAACCCAACAAGTATGAGAATTTTGCATCATCCTTTGATAAGGACTCCAACTTGAATAAAATCAACAAGTATGCCACTAGCTCTCTTAGGTGAAATTGAATCTACACACTATGAAGATAAGAGATTTACATCTAACTTAAAAATGACTCATATCTAAAATTAGACCAAATGGTCATTTTCCAATTAGGTACAACTTTAGAGCTATGTTAAGCAATCGTAGCACAATCTATAAGGAAGATTGTATTATGGAAGGTCGGTCAATAATAATTTATGTACCATAAATGTTAGAGATATGATATAAAGATCATACTCGTAAAACATGTAGCACAAATCAAAACAAAGTTGATCAAGACCTAAGTCAAGGAAAGATGGATCCATTACATCAATCAACCTTTCATGGTACTTAGAACAAACTTATACATCAATTCAAAGAATCTCAATTGATTAATTGATCAATCAAATGGTGGATTTGAAATGATGGAAGTTCATCAAGCATCACTCAAGATTTCATGAACAAAATGACCTACACATCCTCCAATTGATCCAAAGAAATGTGAAAAAGAAAAATAAATGGATGGAGAAGAGAGGATCAAACAAGATAGCAAAACCAAATTGGATCCAAGTGATGATCAAGTTATCATCAAAATCAATCATCTATTTTGGTGGATTAGGGTTTTCATCCCATCAACACCCAAGATCCATTGAGTTTAATGAAACTTGTGACCAAAACAACCAAAATTCAAGGTCAACAGGAGTCAACAAATGTCAAACAAGAATAAAAGGCAATAATATGAATTAAAATGCACTAAAATGATTTTAAAAATAATTTTAAAATGAAAATAAAGATGAAAATGAAAATGATGCATCAAATCAAATCACAAATAACCAATAAAAATCATGCAAGTCAGGAACAAGTTAAGAATGATATATAAAATTTTTGAGAATTTTTTAATGCATAAAACTATTTTTAAACTAATTAAAATGCTTCAAAAAATGAGAAAAATTATGAAAAATAAAAAATGATGAAAATAAAATATGTAAAATATAAAATCAGAAAAAGAAAAAGAAAAGAGAATTTTAGAAATTATTTTGGAATTTTTTGGAGTCAAAATGAATTTTCTATGAAGTTTTGAAGTTAAATGTAATTTTAAAATAAAATCAAAAAATAGAATAAAAGGAAAAAAGGAGGAGCATAGAATTTGAGTTCATTAATTGACATGGCAGATCCCATTCTCCTTAGATGATGATGCATGGTGGAAATTAATAGAAATAACACACAAAATCACATTTGAATTGGACCAATCAAAACATTTCAATTAGCCAAAGTGTCACTACTCAAGTCATTGTCCTCAACCTCTCCGGTTATCTTTTCCGGTGAACCAGTCACCGGAGATTGCTAAATGGTAACATGATAACATAAGACCACCATCATTGCAACCGTCTCATTAAGACGAACTCAACTTGGTACTCAATTTTCATTTATTGAAAGCGAGTAGAGAGAATTACAAAGAAAACACATTGAAATGAAAATCACGAAAACAAAAATTAAATGATGAATACAAGCTATCAAAACCAACTAGGTTAGGAGAAACACTCAGTAAGCAAAGGACTACATTATGGTAACTTGTTTGATTGAAAATGGA